AAGTCAAACTTCTAACGATGACGATTCTTTCTTCCAGGAGACGGATAACTCTGTGAGGCTGAAGATTGCCTCTCTGCTCGGCCTGCTCTCTAAAACGCAGGGCTTCAGCCCCGACTGCATCGTTGACGATGCCATTAACACGCTCAGCAATGAGAGTACGATACATCGGAACATTTATCCATCTCCAACACTCAGAGAAACCTTCATAGCAAACTGTTTTGTTTCTTTGTGTGTTCAGAGTCCCATCAAGTTCTCGCCCAGCTGCTGGACACCCTGCTGGTCATTGGTACACAGCTGCCCGAGAGTCCTGCACTGAGGCTGAGGCTCGTGGAGGTGGCCTACAAGGTGACACAAACACTTATTCAGAGTCCATACACAGAACTCGTCATTACAAACTCAACAGGACTTTCTGCACAAACCAGTAAATGTCCTCCTCGTTTCTCTTCTCTCCTCTTAGCATCTCTCTGATACGTATTTTGGGGTGAGGAATAAGTGCCTGCAGCTCCTGGGATGTCTCGGCATGGTGGACGCTCCCCTAGGAAAAGAAAACGAGGGCGCGGGCACATCCTTAGGTTTGTATACATACTTACTGTATCTATTTTACCTGAAGCTTAAAATGTTAAAAATACAGAGAAGTAAATCCATCAATCCATCCATCTGTATCTAATTTGATGTCTGATTTAGTTTAATCCTCGTAACGTATTTATGTGTCATTATTTATTGTGCTTTGAGCTGCTGTGTGATGGTTTTTATGGCGGCCTGCTATTTTACCTCCAGGAGGATTGAGGGATGTCCAGAGCATTATCAGCGACTACTTTGGAGACCAAGACCCCAGAGTCCGCACTGCAGCCCTCAAAGCCATGGTAGGAAAACCCTGCAAACCCCCCCTGCACTGCAACCAGCACGACACTCATGTGTTTACGAACCAAACACAGTAACCTTTAAGGAAAACAACCCACTCTATTTTCAGGTTTCAATAACTCTGCTTGCTCTCCGTGCTGTTGTTTGTTTCCCAGCTGCAGCTGCACGAGAGAGGGATGAAGATTCATCAGATTATTTATGATCAGGTACGAGCAGAATACGTCCTCACAGCTTACTGCACTCCCACTGTAGCTTTAGATGTTTAATCCAACCTTCTG